TCAAAAGGAAGACCATTATCAAAACGACTAAAATCATCTAATGAACAATCTAAAAAAAAATTCAAAGTGTCAAATACGTACTTCTAATAATGATAAAGATCGCAAATGTAGATTATGTGGAAAAAATGGACATTATCAAAATACATGTTCTGCAATGCAATAATTTAATATATACAGGTAGTTATATAAAGAGAATAGATTAACTTATGAACTTTAAACAACTTCGCAAAGTATAAGAATAGTATAAAAAAATTAACATTAAATTTGTTTCAATAACTTGCTATATTTTTTTGCTTTCTTTGTATAATTCAAAATGAATATCTATTAATTGATATAATTATAAGTGTTTTCTTAGTATTAATAAGTTAAATAGAACAATATCATTATAATTAGTCCAAATTATAGGTATAATGCAAAAGCAAAGATCTTAAGGCAATGCGTTGTTAAATAACTTTGTTTTTCTTATTACTTTTAGTATCTTTCTATTAGCTATTTGCTTTTATAGCACACTATACGTACCAATCTATTCAAAAGTAATCAGATAAGTATTTATGCGTATTCAATTTTGACCAATATATGCATATGCACATACAACTGTTGCTATATTACTAATCGCTATTACTACTTATTTAGGTCTTTTGATTAATTTGCGCTTTGAATTTAAATTGATATGCATTTAAATGTTTTAAATTAAACCTTTCTCAGTATTTGTTAAAAATCAGAACTGGTCAAAAAAAAATTTTGACTAGTAAAATGTTATTAAAATCATACCCTAACTATCTACTAAAATAAATAGTTTCCTAGTAATAAACAGACAAGTCTATGTTTTTTATACATTAGCTGGCTTCGTAACTTTTATAATCGACCAATAATATAATAGTCAATTAGTCATTCGATGGTTGAACAATTGCAGTCTCAGTAATCGTCAATAAAAAATTTAATCGATAGAATTATGAAATTCTTTAAGTTCGGTAATGTTAAGGCTAGCATTTGTAAAACTAGCCGGGCATATGATATAGTTAAATTGTTTAACGAAATTTTTGTTTTATATAGATTTTAAATTTTTTTCAAAATGGATAAGATCGTATTACAACTAGTTAGAATTATATACATATATATGTTAGTATATGTACAGTATGTACTGTACGTACGTACATGCTATGATTTTACATTACACATAAGATTTATAATAAATTTGTGTATGGGTGAGAAATATCGAATCTCACCCTGGGTAAATTATAAATTTACCCTAATAATAAACTCACCTAGCATTATGACTTTGATGAAATTAACAATTTATTTAATTGCTCGGGTAGAACTTTATCCAAGCATCTTTAAAAACTTAACGTTTCAATTATATAGAAAATTATCCGAAATTTCTGTAAATTGATTAGAAACCTTAACGTTTACGTTTTACTGTACATTACTATTTTCTATTTAAAAACTGTCTATAAGTGAAATATACTTACATAGCGTAGTACTTAAAGTTTTGTCTGTGAAGAGCCTTCCACAGTATAAATGATGGTTACATTTTGTAAAAAAATTTACTATATATATTCAATTACATAAAGTTGAGAATTATAAGAAAGCCTACCCTTAGAGTAACGGCTCGGCTTGGCTCGGCTTGGCTCGGCTCGAGGTTGATTGTAAACGGCTCAAATTTGCTTGCTGAGCCGAAAGATCGGCTCTGCTTGATTAGTGTTAGCCGTGAGCCGAGTCGAGCCGAGCCATTCGCATCACTCCAGAGCTAGAAATAATCTTTAGCCAATCAAATATATACAGATATCATTATTACTACTGTACTATGGTGCTCCAAGTTATTTGATATATTCAAGAAGACGTCAAATTTGATATAAAGACCCAGAAGATTCTGTATTCCTCGGAAAGAAATGGAAGTTAGAATAAATTTTTCTTAGAATAATGAAAATAATTTAATTCTACAGAAAAAGCATGACGCCAATTTTTATAAATTACATAATAAATTTTACAAATTTTCTTAACTTTAACTGATAATATAAAAATAATATATATATAGTTATTATCAATTATTTTGAATGAGAAGTGATTTGGAGCATCATACTGTAACAATATTATTCAAGCGTCGCAATTACGTGTTTAATGCAAATATCGATTTTGATATATCAAAAAAAGACATTTTTAAACAATGAGTATCGGTATGAATTTATTTTATCCAATTAATTACATGTGACTTTTGTAATTAATCCCGGGCATTTGAGGAGCGGGTTTAATCCACTCCGATCATTTAACAACCCTATGATTGATCGGTACAAACAAAGAGAGGATCTAAATATGTAATTTTATTAATTAAATATAAATTTATATCAATATATCAATATTGATACAGTATTAGTCCTTAGATATTTCGAGACACTTTTGTGGATCATCATCGTCATCTAGTGCATCAAAAAGACACATGTCTGAATTCATCATCTCAGGTAAGGTCTCCCAATTACTAAAATTTGTCGTTGGCGACATCAATGAAACAGACGATTGGATATTTTTTGTACACGCTTTCACGTGATCAGAAACGGAATGAGTTAAATCGCCTGATGTTGGGATATTGACTAAAGAAAAAGACGCATTAGTTGAATCTTGGGAAACTTCATCTTGAGATGGTTCATTCACAAAGCGGTTTTGTTCGTTAGTCTGAGATGGGTCTTGATTTGTTTCATAAGATTCCATAAAATCTTGCTTTATTGATGGTTCAATGTTTGTAACAGAGACTTGTTCAAACTCATCCGTTTGCGTTTGAATATTAGAACTATGTGGTTCATCCGGAGTTTCATTACTACTATTCTTCGTGGCCTTCATTAGACATTTCATATCCTGTTTCAAAAAACTTAATTCCAATTGAAGGCAAGCATTTTTCACTTCGAGATTATGGATGCGATTCAAAACATTCTTCAGACAATAATGCAACAATTATTGAAAGTGTACAAGCAAACAAATAATTCATAAATATATATTTATGAATCTACTCACTTGGCCAATTATAATATCTTGATTATAGTTGAATTGCTCGTTTTCTTTTATATAATCTGAATTTTTTTTTGCAAAAAAATTTTTATAATCGTTTTTTGCTGCGCATACTGATAGGTTTAATGCATCAAAAAGAAATTGCACACATAAATTACCCTCATTATTATTAGAGTTTTCGGAAAACTCGTCAGGGTTAATTCTCTTGCGCCTTTTACTTGCAATTATTTGTTTAGAACTTAATTTAGGACTATCAAGTATACTTAATGAAGAATAAATGTCAAATTTTTCATTGTCATCTTGGGCACTCTCAAAATCAACATTCGAAGTTATGTCACTAGTGTGCAAAAAATTGTTCCACGCAATATTTGTTGAGGTGACAGATTTGGGGATAACAGAATGCAATGCAGAAGTCTCTATCGTTCTTGGTGTAGAAATGGGAGATTTATTTTCTTCGAGCATTATCCTCGTGTCACTACAGCTTGGTGGCGGAGATCCGGCAATTTTACTGACTCTTGAGTTGCATTCATCATTTGTTGATAAGAAGTGATGCCATTCTAATGATTCTTCACTAATCGAGGGTTCAGATGCATTGGTTTGTTCTAAAGGTGCCATTGAGTCGATTACTGTTGCGATATCGACTACGGTCATTGTTTCATGCATGCTTTAAAAATATTTAATGTTTGATTATTTTGTATTGAATAAAATAACACACCTCCTGAGTACCATTTTCCCTACCTTTCTTTAGATAATTTTGTGCTTAAAGATGGTGAGTTTAAACGCCTATAATGATGTGTAGATGTTAATGATTCTTTGTAGTATCGTCCGCGGAGAGACTGTGATTGGCTTCTTCGATTTGTCTCTTCAAAGGAGTATGTTCATGTGATTAGTACATCTACTATATGATTTTTTAAAAGATATTAATGATTCACCTGAAATAGTTGTATGATTCGTAATATTCTGGATAAAAAATAAATTTAGGTGTTTATACTTGTCGCATAACTAAATATATATGTATAATGTGTCGTACTTACGATAGGCGAAGAAACACTAATTCCAATCCAATCTAACCCTTGTAAAAGATCCTGTTTACGCTTTAAAATATCTTGATAACGAACAATGGCAAGATTAAAAACAATTTAAGACAATTTTTTCCGTAACATAACACAAATTACCAGTCGTGCCTTGCGAAACAGTTGTAGAATTGTTCGCATTTTCGTGATCCAACTTTATTGTTTCGGAATCAGATTCATGAAGGTTATCATCACAAAATATCTCTATATGATCTTTAGAATGGTTCAAAGCAAGTGGAATTGGTGACGATATTTGATCATCGTTATTTGAATGATTACTTTCAAGAAAAGAATTTATCTGATGACTGTCATCATTTTGTCGGACAACATTAAGATTAGTAATATAGCAACAGTTGTAAGTGCATATGCATATATTGGTCAAAATTGAATATGCATAAATACTTATCTGATTACTTTTGAATAGATTGGTACGTATAGTGTGC